CGTTTGCACCAGTAAACTGAAACCAGTAAATAGTTTAAAAAGATTTCTTTCGATTTTATAAATATATTCAATGTACTTCACTATTTTATCTTTAATTCCAGTAGGATGGAGATTTACGGTTTTTGAGGCAGGAATAAACATTACTGTTTTAGCTATGACGGCCAAAGAAAATCAAAAGTCTTCATGTTGTCTGGATCGATTCGCCCTGACTACTTTCTATTTTTCTTCATACTTAATGAATTGTAGAAGCTTTGAGGTAAGATAATTGGAGGCGGGGGGGGGGGGTTATATCGGTCCGAATCTTGGAGAGTGGCCTTGAAATTTTCGGTGGAATCTTTTCTACCGCATAACATGCCATGGTACTGCAAGAGAGTGCATTTCTATAATTAGCTCTCTCGTAGTGTTAAGGAGAGCCCTAATTCTTTTATTATCGGAACTATCGCTGGCTTTCTGTGGCTGAATATGCCTAGCTTTATGCATAAGCTATTCTTTCCTTGAGTTGGAGAGGTGGTATTGATTCATTTGTCTTTCTATTGGTCATTTTCAGCATTTAGCGTACAAAATTTCAAGTTAAATATGGAGAAGCATGCTGATCTTCTGGGGATCTCTATTTACTGCTAATTAATTGTTTTGCTTCCACTATATATCTTCCCTTTCTGTCTTAGGGACCTGAGTGGGTGTGGCTGACGGGATACTACATTCGATCTCGTTTAATTATGTCCCAGCGTTTAGTCAAGCTTGACCTCACAAATGAACCAAAAGTACCCCAGGCTATTCGTGAATCACAGGAGATCTTATTGAGATTGAACAATCACATTCGTTACTCTCCGTGGCGATCGCTGCCCGAGTTGACTCAGGTTAACGGAGAAGTGAGTTCTGTCTTCCTCTTTCATGTATTCACCACAAAACCACATGCCAACATCGAGTTTTTATTTCTTTATTTGTGCAGTACTGTCACGCCAGTTGCCATTCTCAGGCCTGGAGCATTGGAACTGCAATTGAAGCCGTCTATGATCTTCTCGAAACTAATGCCCGTAGGAAGGGTTTAGAGTTTCCTCCAGCTTAATTTCTCTCTGTTTATTTTTTTCGCCCCTCCCCCTCCCCCTCTTTGATTTATTTATTTTCGAGTTTGTTTTTTTTTGATTTCTTTCTCTTTTTCTTCTCATCGCGTTAGAGTTACTGTTTGGGTTCAACAATCATACTATTTTATAATACTGAGTCTATTCTTCTATAACAACTCTCCACAGCTGAAGGTGAGATTCCATCTGATATGCTTGTGTACTTGAGAGAGCGCCAATCGGTTGAGTCTTTCTCTTCGTTATCCTCGGCAAGGAAGCTTTTCGCAGGCGGCCCACGCGTAACTGATCCCGCCCTCTTTGATATGCGCAATCAAGACGCAACCTCTGTAAAAGTCTCAGTCTACAATGATCAGTTGAGGATCCTATGCAATGTCAGCTGAGATTACACAACATGACAACCTCAATGCGTTGCTACGTTAATATCTTTCAGTGATTGCTTCGTTGATTTTTTCCCGTTCTTCTTCTTTGGCTAATTGTCAACTTGCCACCCTTTGACATTTCGCCTCACTGACATCGTATAGTTTGAGCTGCTTGTTTAGATTAAATTAACATTAAATAACTATTAAAGTACCTTTATTTAATTAAAACACAAACTTGTTTTTTTTTAAACTAAATTGCGATGATCAATTTTCGATTGGACTGTTGGAAAGAATTTTGTCGGTAAAAGTGAATAGCTGTTAGTTATTTCGCTTTGATTTAACCCACAGAATTTCGTAACCCAATTACTTTACTAATTTTGAAGTTATGATGACTTTCTAACATTATTTTCAGTAATATTCTTTTTTTGTTAAATCATTTACCGAATACGATTTTTTCAGCGCCGTAGATTAGGGTAAATGCATTCCTTTGTACCGGGTGAAGACGATATCGGAGTGTACGATGTATTCGGCGGGTGGTGTAGTGGCAAATCTTTGTGATTCAATTGGAGGTCGCTATTTTTTACACCAGTATTTACACAATCAACTGAAAAATAGTCTACTTAAATAAGTATTAACGTCCACCTAACTACGGTATAATGGAAAATGGCTTCAGTCCGTATGTTTTGGAGTTGCTTATTTATATTTGGGTTTCATAAACAATTGCAATTTGTTGACATCGTGCCTAGTGGATGAATATAAAGCTTAAATTACAACTATCTGCGCATTTTAAGTAGCTGACATTTCATGCAATCGAAGCGTAGAGAACAGCGAATCACGATTACAGTCTTCGAATTAAAAGACTAACAGTGGGGGGGGGGGATAAATTAGGGTACAAATATTATTATCGAAAGAAATTTATCACTTTGTGATGAAATTTTAGTTTTAATGAATGCTTCATTACAGATGTGTTGCCCAACAGAGTAGATATTTGTGCGGGTTATATTTCTTGATTAGTACTTAATCAAATTAAGTAGAAATAGCCTGTTGAAATATTAAACAACTTTATCGAAATTTCGTAGTGAAATTTAGTTTCGGAGGAGTACATTCTTGATGCTGAGGGTGTGTGGCATAAGGGGGCCGTGATACCTCCGTTGTTCTCAGAGGACGTTTGATCTTTACTGAGAGTTCTGAGATAAATTTCGAAACGAGAGTGAGAAAATGCTGTCAATATATCTATTACAGTCGTACCGAAAAATACAATGCGAAATAAAATGCTATTAAATAGCCTGATTCTTATCTGTTCACATCTTGGGTGATCAAATATCATTAATCGGTTTTATAAAACTTATGGAAGTTGTGTGTGAATGATTGAGTGTGTGTGTGTGTGTGTGTGTTTACGGCTTATCTTCTCAAAATGAAATTTAATCAAATAAACTCGTCAATTCTACCTTAAACAACGGACAAAAATATAGCCGTTCGATGAAAATGTCGTGTTCGAAATAGGTTTCATTTTGAAACAATGTCAACATAGATAAATATATCATTTAAAAGCAATAGAACAGTTGATAATTCTTTATGCTGCATCCAATGAAGTATTTTCGCCCTTTATAAAGCTAGTTAAAAATTGCTCTTGTGACGTAAAAATTTAATTAGCATGCATCAGAATCATCAGCTAGGAAGAAAGCAGGAAAAACCCTTTTTTGGGCTTTATTTCTTCTGCGGCAGTATAGCAATAGCAAAAAAAACACGAGTGTCCTTGAAAACGCAAGCCAGAAAATCAGTAAATTGAATTGAGTCGTCAAGCTGATAAATAGAGCTCAGAAAAGGGGTGCGTAAAAATGAAGAAATTTGTGTCTTAATCAATTTTATAAGTATCTTATGTCCCATTGATATTTGTGAGACTATAAATACTTCCTCAACCGCTCCATTGGAGCATCTCGTTCATTCAATTATCAAAAACTTTGGGCTGAATTCTGTGAGAGAATAAAAAAAATTATCGCCTTGGAGATTGGCGTCGCTTTGTTTGCATTCATTCACATCAAAATTTTAAGTTTCATCTACGGGGTGTGCGATAGACTTACCTCCACGTTGTGCACCCTGGGCAACGTATACTCATACGACAAAAAGGTCTATTAACTGGCAGTTGACTTCTCACTTCAAATTACCATCACTTCACTCTATGCCATATTCGACTATTTCCACAGTACTCTTCTTACCTTTTTTCTACCTTTGTGTTTGTCTCTTACATCTTTGAAATACTCTTCTGTTCCCCCCCCTCTCGACTTTTTTCAATTTGATGTTCCTTCCCCTCTGTGAAGCCTGAAGTCAACTAAGGGGCTAATGATAACCACCAAGACGCCTGCTGTTTGATATAAATAAATAAATAAAGTTTCATCTACTTATCTCACACTGTTAATTCTGCAAAGGGATCTTACATTTGGCGGCTTAATAAGTAAGCTCATACTCACAAATGAATAAATATCACATTTATTGAGGGGTCGGCCTTTCCTGTTCCGAATTTGACAGAGTTTATCATTTTTCGATTTGCAAATTTTTCCATATTAAAACTCTTACTATTAACACGTACATTGATGATTTCTACCCAGGCAGCAAGTTTACTGGAGTAGTAACATCAATCAGAAAATTTATTTTATTTATATCAAATGGCAGCCGTTTTGATGGCTATCATTAGTCCTTTAGTTGATTTCAGGCTTCACAGAGGGTTAGGAACATCAAGGTGAAAAAAGTCAAGATTGAGGGGGGAACAGAAGTGTTTCAACAATGTAAAAGAGACAGACATAAATGTAGAAAAAGGCAAGATGAGTACTGTGGAAGGGGTCGAATACGAAATTCAGTTGGGGGGGGGGGTGATGGTAGTTTGAAGTCAGAAGTCAACTGCCGGTTTATTGACTTTTTTCCACGGGGAAGTAAGTCTATCGCACACCTCTCAATCAAAAAATTAAATTGCCTAATCAACTTGTGCATTCCTCGAAGTTGAATGCAGGAACCTAAAAATTGGCAATAATTCAAATTTGAATGATTTCAATAAAAATTTATATAAGATATAATGGCCTCGTTCTTTATCCACCTTAGTGGTTTAGATAAGTGTCTTTTTAAATATATGCACACACATATTTCGATATATTTTAATTAAACTTACTTCATGAGGAGATTGTTTCTTTTTATCTGTGACTTTTTTGAGTAACTCAGGCGATTTCTAGCTTAGGGCAATCAAATTGGTAAATATTTATTTATTAATTCTATTACAGTCAGGATAAAATTATGCTTGAATCAAACGTAGGCTTACGACTTATAAAGGCCAAAAGAATTAAAAGATTTTAATAAATTTCAATCTTTGATTTTTAACAACTTAATAGCATTGTAAAAGAGACAATTTTTATATTAACCCAACATTTTATTGAGGCAAACCTGTTTAATCTCACAATAATTGAATTTTTCCCATAAAAAACAAGGACCACTCAAATTTGTCTCATACTTGACATCATTTTTATGGGCATTTTATCTATATTATTAGATTATCTTGACAGCTTATCAATTATAATTAATTAAAACAGCTTTAAATAATAAAAGGATTACTATTAATGATAATATTATTTAAAACATCCTTGTGGTATTTCAATATTTATTCATTTATTTCAAACGACAGGCGTTTTGATATTTATCTTTATCATATTAGCTGAATTCGGGCTTAACAGAGGGGAGGAACATCATAGTTACAAAAATTGGAGAGTGGGGAACAGAAAAGTGATTTACAGAAGTAAAAGAGACAGACAGACAGACACAAAGGCACAGAAAAGGTAAAGTGAGCACTGTTGAGGCGGTCGAATATGGCATACAGTGGGGTCATGGTAGTTTGAAGTCAGAAGTCAACTGTCAGTTTATTGGCTTTTACCGTATGAGTATACGTTGCCTAGGGTGCGTCACGTGGAGGTAAGTCTATCGCACACCCCCTATTTTAATATTATATGGCATATCAATAAACTTTATGGTATTAACCTATGTCAACTACATTTGACGTTCGCCATTTTGTCTATTAATTTAAGGAATAAAATAATGCTATAACAATTAGTAGAAGTTTCCATAAAAATCCAATTGAACGAATTTTTCATACAACCGAAATGGAATGCGATTGATTATAGAAACTTGTAAAAGACGTGAAAATAGAAACGAGAAATAGGAAGATGATTTCAAAATCTAGATTTCACTCGATGGCATTAATTTTCTTTTAATCAAGACGAGAATCAATTTGGAACTTGCGGAACTACCATCTACATAATTTATAATTGCTTCCGAATTAACTTACCTTCACATATTATCACCTTTTTTTAAATCTCACTTGTCACGCGAGATTCAGTTCCTTTCTGGCAAATGAAATGCGTTTTTAAGAATAAATTATTAATAAATTAATATATGCGACCAGATTCACTTTATAAAGTAGTTGATAAAAATTAGGGCTCATAATTTTTTTCCGTAAATTGAAATAACAGTAAAGAAGTGGTTCGGAAATTCCATCATATTGGCCAAAATAATTACCAAAATCACAAATATTATTAGGACCCACATCTATTCATGTGGGGGTTTGGGCTAAATCGTAAGAGTTAAACGTCATTGTAACAATGCTTTATTTCATTTAATTGGTCTATTGGTATGGGTAATCATAATGTGGATAGCAATAGTCGAGTCTGAAATTTTCACTTATTCAACTTTAGGCTGTCATGACAAAATGACCTAAGCCTACAAAACCAAATAAAACCCTATTGATAGGTAAAAGGTCTATTTGAATATGACTTATCTCATTAAACTTTTACTAATAAATTGAATTGTATAACCGTTAATGTCTATATATGTCATATATTTTGACTTTTAAAATGTAAAACCTATCAAATTAATATGTCAGAGGCTGTTCACTATGTGTGGTAAAAGTTTGAAACAACTTCAGTGTTTGGACAAAAGCATTTGGCATAGAGCATGATGAATTATTCAGTTGACAGTGTATCAGAGGCAAACAGAAAA